TTTGAGGCATTAGCTCTGCCGGGTCAGGCCTTGAGGCCTCAGCCAGGCATAATGCCTGAAGCCTCGGGAACTCAGGCATTAGCTCTCTGAAGCCTGAAGCCTCACCCTCCGCCAGACCACGGACCCCTCCCCCCCTAAAGCCTCACCCCCGGCACCGACCCCAAGCTGCACCTAACCCTAACCCTAACCCTAACCCTAACCCTAACCCTAACCCTAACCCTAACCCTAACCCTAACCCTAACCCTAACCCTAACCCTAACCCTAGCTGATGCCTCGTCAACCCTAGCTGATGCCTCATTAAGCCTAGCCCCACTTCATTGCTTCCCACCGACCACCACCGACTCCACTTGCCACTCACTGGCCCCTTGCCACCCCTTCCCATCCCATCCATGACCCATATCCACATTCCCACCCACCCGACCATACTCATCCCTTACCCCACCATGCGCATGGCTGTTCATGGGCGTTGATTGAGTCTTTGATGGTGATCCACAATCTCCATCCCCCATTGACACTTGCCCGTGTCACTCGTTCGACCGAGTCGCATGTGCGGGTTGTTGGGTGACATGAATGTCATTTGACATTTCATGATTCGCCACTCGTCACTTGTTCGATTGTTTGACATTGAATTGATTGTCATTGATCATTGTTAATTTATCATTCGATTCTTTCTGTTTTTTTCTTGGTGGCTATCCATTTTCCTTGTTCTTTGCCGTTCATGTTTCACATTCTTTGCGGTTGATTTTGTCGGCCTTCATGTTCTGCTTTGGTTGCTTTTGCCTTTGATGGTTGACCACAATTGACATGCATCGTCATCGATCATTGCCTTTGTTCTTCTTGTTGCTTTGTATCATTTTTCGTCATGCTTCAATTGTTCTTGACTCTCCTGTTCTCTGCGACCTTGACTTCCACATTCACCATCGGGCCTTGCTCACTACACTATCGATTCTCAACTTTGTTGTCGTTGGCCATGGTCAATAGTTGTGCATGCAATATATTTTGTGTTGACCCTGTTGTGTCGTGGTCATGGTTGATCTGCAGATCTGATCGATTAACCGCGCCCTTCCTCATCGACCTGAACGTCACCCGAGTTCATCCCATTGCCTGCTAGCTTTGTCCAGTCCCTGTTGGCTTACTCATACGTGTGCTGTGCAAGCCATGTATGATCTTTGGTTGTTGTTGTGGACGTCATTGCCTCGTTTGATGCTGGTTCCGGCATTTCTTCAATTAATTCAACGTTCAACTCAATTAACGTCCGCCGCCTTCCCTCTGCCGGCCAAGTACCCGCCGCCCCTTTCGCCCACACCCCACAGACCCCCATCAGCCGTATCATACTCACCTTTATCAATGCTCAAGCCCAATCGCCATACCTACTACCATTTCGTCCGCCACACCACCCACGTCACGACCTTCTCATCCCCCGTACATTCTCATTACCACCCATC